AATAGACGTTCGCAGGCAAAAATCGGGAGTGGCAAGATTGTGTTCTGCCATGGTTTCTTGGCCCTCTTCTTCGCGCGGTTCTGGCTTTCTGAGAGACGAGGATCAAAGTCGCGATCCTGGCCAACATACAAACCTTGCTTGAGCCAGACTTTCGACTTGGGCTTCGAGAAGATCTTTTCTCCTTGGTCTTGGCTATCTGCGTCTCCATCCTCAAGGGCAGCGCGAGACCGCTTGAGAGAAGCCGCGGAAGAAGTTGATTGGCCGGATTTGAGGGATGGCTCTGAAGTACTGCGGCGTAAAGTGCTTTTGACGAAAGCCTTTCCCCCTGAGTACATGCTTGCGACGGTGTCGCCGACACCGCTTTTGCGGAGGACCTCCTTGCGAAGGTCCGTCACGCGCGAGGAGGTGCGACGTCGTGCTGCCTGGGCGGCTTCGGCAGCCAGCTGATCCTCGACCTGATCGCTGGCATCAGTCATGTCAGACTTCCGCTTCAGCATCTTCTTTCGCACGGGTGTGGCTTTCTCCTTCCTCGCGAGCTCCTCAAGAGAGCCGTGCACGACGTTCTTGTGGTGCTTCTCGAGGTATTTGGTCGGCGTATGAATCGCAGTTCCGGCGAGGATCTGCACGTTGTACGTGGTGACGGACTTGCGCGAGCTCCTAGCAGGGCGGCGGGCCTCGTTGTTGACGGCGTCGGGCGTAATGGTTTGCGCGGACGCTGAGGTCTCGCCGAGCATTTGGAGGCCCGGAGCCTCCTCGTACACTTCGACAGCTTGTTCGATCTTCGTCATCTCGGACATGACGCTGGCTTCGTCGCCGAGGCTGGTAGGTGGCGTCGAGATGGAAGGCGACGCGCTGGACGTGGCGCGAGCATCGCCCTGCTTATCAGTTCGGACCGTGATGTTGGAAAGCGTAGAGGATGTTGAGGTTGGGGATAGATCGCGCTCGGCCATGACAGCGGACGGGGAAGGCAGCAGCACGCGTCGTGGTCGTGGTCTTGAGGGGTGAGGCACTGACGCGCGAAGGAGGTGGACGCTTTGGGCGGGTCGACGGCGCTCACGAAGCAACACTGCCAAATTCTACGCGCGATAGGCAAAGAGCAAGCGAAGAAACGTGTACAGCTGTCGGTCCGGTTTAGGAGAGTGTGTGAGCATGCATTGGGAGGCGCATCGAGCCGGAATTGGGAGATAGATGGACGGATGGACGATTTGGGGAGGTAAACACATGCAGCTAGTCAGTCAGCCGATTAGGCCGTCGTGCCCTGTATATCCAATGTTACCAGCACCACCACTCCTCGCATTCCGCCTTATTACCCGCACGTACCGGCCGGGTCTTTGAAACCAAGCCCGTTGGAATATTATCATGGAATATACACATAATCAAGAAAGTCACTAATCAGTGCATGCAAACAACCATGTGGTGCCGTGCCTGCACTCGTGTATTGTGAAGAAGTTATTACTTAAGATGGGCTAACCATATGATTACGCTGATCAAAAACATCGCCTCATCCCACAGTCGCGTCTGCAGCGTCACGTCCTGACCTACTAGCTGGGCCCTGGAATGCCCCCGACCCGCTAACATCCTGCATCTCCACCCCGCCGCCCTGCTGCTCTGGCACCAAAGGCGCAGTCCGTTTATCTTTGCGCGAGCCAAACCTTTGGTCGCCATCCTCGTACTTTCTCTTGAAATGGAGATAGGTCGGCGGACGTGGCCGCTGCAATACAGCGACCCAGTTTTTCAACGCGGAGCCCTGTGTGAAGGGCCTATGCCGATCCTTTTTGAGGAACTTGTGTGAGTTCAAATATTCACGTGTCGTTTCGCCCCTACCAACCAGGAACAGATGGTATACGCCAAGACTGAAGGGATATGACCACCCGAGGAGTCCGTATATACACATGGCAAAGGGAACACGCCATCGATCGATGGCCTCGCCAAAGGATGCTCCAGTTTGCGCCCGCCAGACCAGTAAGTGTGCCAGACTAGCGCCCAGGAGGAAAAGACCTAGCAAAGTGGTGGCGCACACGAAGACAAAGAAGTAACGGTAGTTGCGTCGTCCCACGCAATTGTTGAGCCAGACGCAATGGTGATCTTGCGTCTCGATGCAATTGTCACATACACGGCAATGGTGAGCACGTGGAGGTCGCCAGATATTGCAACTCTTGCAGTATTTTGTCGGCACCTCCATAGCTGCATTCGTGCCGGTTGCGGAGACCACCATAGTCCACTCAGTGGTGGGCGGACCGAGACTGAGCGGATCGTCATTGGGATTAGGAGGGGGAAACGGATGTAGATTTCGGGGAAGTATCTATACAGCGTTAGTAGTGTTCAGGACAAAGGAGGTGCACGACATACGCCCGGATCTGAAGCTGACGCATGGAAGAAAGAGGAGATGGAGACGAGAAGCAAATATGCAAAGAGAATGGGTATCGAAGGAGAAACGTTGGTCCATAGCCAAGGGGCCCTATAGTAATAGTTAGCGTAGGGAACAATAGCAGTGGAGGGAAGTCCACGAACGAGAAGCCGAAAAAGAGACCAGCAGGTAAGATGATGAGGATTGCCGTGGCGAGGTTAACTGGACGGTCGCGGGTATTTTGTAATCTACCACCCCAGCAAAACGCAGTATTGCCAGAGAAGTACTGGTAGTTTCTGCCGAGCTCCCGCTTGACTGCCTCCTTGGTAGCTTCTTTGCGCGCTATTCTGGGCGACGACTCGGCAGAAGTGAGTTTCTCGTGTCCTTGATGGGGCCGTATCTGGGCTGAGCGTCCGTCGCGACTGGATAACATGAAGCTGGAACCGAAAGAGCGGGGCGATTTGCTGGGCGTTGGGAGCTTGCCGGAATCGTGACCATGAACATTAGAGAGATCCAGGTGCTGAGGCCTGGGTCGCTGCAGGGGAGTGATGCTCTCGCCTCGACTGCGCACTGTTTCTGCGCCCGTGGGCGTGGTGTTGGCTGTGGTGCGGTCGGGCATGTCTCTATCGGTGATGTCGGTGCCGCGCGAGGGCGGCGGCTGGGGGTCCAGCTCGTGGTGGAGGCCCAGGGTTGGGGCACCGTGCCGAATTGTTTGCGTAGAGCCTGTACTCTGGCGGTACGGATTGCTGCCCGTTTCGTGTGTCGCGTCGGAATAGAGCGAGCCGTGGCCGAGGAGGGAATTGGGGCGCTGGTTGCGTTGTTGTTGAAGACGCTGCGAGCTCATGGGGCGAAAGAAGCCGTGGGCTGCCAGCGGGACATGGGTTCTACTGGCAGACGTCGTTGGGCGGCTGTGTCCTAGACTGCCGGCGACGCTCATGCCGCCTCCTCGTCGTGCAGGGCTGGCCTGGGACCATCTGTTCTGACTGCCCGAATTTGCAGTCGCAATCGACGACGGTCGCGAGGGCGGCAGGCCGGGCTCGCCTGCTGGGCCCGTCATGCCCAACACGCGACTGCCAGTCGAGCTGCGCTTCTGTTCGGACGGCGTCATGGCCATGGTGATGTGGTTGCGGGCGCGATTACACTCTCGGCACGCAGCATGACATCAAAGAGCTGAAAGTGTGGCTGGAGGGAAGTCACGGCTTGTGCAGCGCGTGGTCGCGACGAATTCGGCGAGCGCGGATGGGCGAGGATGGCGACCGGCAGGGGAAGGAGCGACTGGAAGTGAGTGAATGGAAGGGCTGCGGCGCCGAAAGGCTAATGGAATGATGGACAAGACGTGTGATTGCGCTGAAAGGGGCGCATAAAGTTGATGCTCGACCCTTCGACGTTGCCCGGCGCACTGCAAGGTCCGCCTGACTGTTTCCGGCATGGCCGTCGTTGTGACGCAGCCGCCAAGCTTGGCGTCCGCGAGATTCAACATCGAACCACTGCTCCGCGCTGCACGCATCCCACAGCTCGCATCCCATCTGCGCCACTCACTCGCCATCATGTCTTCCATCATTGCCTGCTCGGCCTTCCGCGCCGCCCCGCGTGTCCGTCCCACGCCTGCTCTTCGCCGATGGGCCAGCGCCGCCGCTGAGGGCGAGAGACAGGCCGGCAAGGACGCCCTCAAGACCGGAGCGAAGCGCGACCCCGAACTCTACGTATGATGCGACACGTCAATTGGAAAATACAGGGCGCATAGCTGATTCGTCTACAGGTTCTGTTCGCTATCATGAGCGGTGTTTTCGGTCTGGCAGGATGGCACTTCTGTATGTTCCCGGCTACGTCGATTCCCCTCGTGCGCCCGTCTTCACACGCTGACAACTGCAAGCCCGCTCTCCTACCAGTGCCTCGTCGGAACGAGCCGTCGCCAAGGCCGCAGGCAGTGAGCCCTGGAAGCAGGATGGTGGTGTAGGCCCATATCAGTACCACCCTGGAGGTGACACCAGCGTCAAGAAGGATGCGCCTTCTGCACTTAACGTGGTCGTCATTCCCAACGTCACTCTCCCCAAGGTAAGCTGACGCCATCGAGTACAAGGAATCAGACTGTATTGACGAGCACAGGAACTCCACGACACATACAACAAGTGGGGCAAGGATGGCTACTAGACACGCGAACTGACATCAATCACCCAAGTTCCAATCAAAACCTCATGGCAGCGGAGTGCGAAATCTTTCTTTAGTTATGCGTCTGTACATAAGACGGTCATGGGTGCTACTGCATAGATCAAACAAGTTCTCTTTTATGTCCTCACACAGATTGGTGCTGCACAGTTCTGGTCTGCCTAACAACGCGACAGCAAAATCAATGCAGACTCGAATGATAAGAGATCCCCCAAGCACCACGGTAATCTCTGGTAGACTTTTTTGTATATATACACGTCAGACTCAGGTAATGTTAGCGAAACTGCTATTCATCTGTCTGGAGAGATCAACGTCGTGTCCGTCCTAGGTCGAATTATACATGCTTTTGTTCTTCCAGACTCTCTCCAAATTTGGTCCTTGCGAATGGCACTGTGAACCCCGGGTAGGAGAGCTGGTAGAATGTAGTCTATGGGTATCGATATAAGTGCACTGTCAGTCTGGAAGTCCGTCCGCCCCCCAACTACAATCAAGCTGCGCTTGGTAGTCGCTTCCGAATTTCGGCAATCATATCAGTCCTGTTCACCAGTACACCGTCTTTCTCGGGGTCGTTGTCGTCTTTGATTCCCAGAACCTTGATCTTGACTTTGCCGTCTTTGAGCTCATCCTCACCAAGGATGACGAGGAGCGGGACGCCGGCCACCTCAGCTTGTTTGAATTGCTGAGGGAGTTTCGGCTTCAGTTTGTACGAGAACTCAGCCTTGATGCCTGCAGCCCATAGCTCTTGAGCGACTTGCATACGTTCTGTCAACAGGCCGGTGAAGCCTTTACCACCAAAGGCCGCGACGAACGCATCGACATCTTTGGCACGCTGTGTCGACTGGCCGCGGGCTTTCATGATGCTAATGATTCGATCGATGCCGAAGGATATGCCGACGCAAGGAATAGGCTTGCCACTGAACATGCCCACGAGCCCGTCGTAACGACCACCGGCGGCGACGCTTCCTACACCGATTTCTTGCTGCTGACCTTTTACACGCGGTGCTGAGCCTTCTGTAACTACCTCGTAGATGAGCCCAGTGTAGTAGTCTAGACCTCTGGCGAGTGAGAGATCGAAAGAGATCCTCTTGCGGGCACCAAAAGCGTCGAGGTATGAGAAGAGCTGTTCCATCTCCCGAACACCCTGGCTGACGTCTTCCGATTGAGAGAGAGTCTCGTTTGTCTTGAGATAGTCGATGATGTCGTCGCCGCCTTTGCGCTGCACCCATTCACCAATCTTATCCGCAATGTCTGCTGGCAGTCCCTTGGTCTCCATTTCTTGCTTGACCTCTGACCATGGTAGCTGCAGCATGTTAGTAACTGACCGAGACCTGAAGATCTTCTGCTTACCTTGTCTAGTTTGTCTACCGCAGAGCTGATCGGCCGTATCAGTTCTGCCTTGACGCCAGCAGCCTTGAACATGCCGTCTAGAATCTTCCTGTGATTTATCTTGATCGTGTACGAGTCCCACTTGAGCGCATCGAAGACGTCGGTCGCAATCTTGAGTACTTCGGCATCTGGAATCATGGCGTCGTAGGAACCCGCGATATCGAAGTCGCATTGGTAAAACTCTCGCATGCGACCCTTGGTCATCGCTGGTTGGTCGCGGCGGTACACCTTAGCGATTTGGTATCTCTTGAAATTCTGGACGCTAGGATTCATGGCGAGCCATCGTGCAAGTGGAACGGTGAGATCGTAGCGCAGTGAGCAGAGCTCGCCGCCTTGATCCTGCAGATCGTAGATCAACTTTGAGTCTTCTCCATATTTACCGCTGAGGATCTCTTTGAGTTCAAAGACGGGCGTGTCGAGTGTCGTAGCACCGTGGCGCTTGAAAACTTCCGTTACCGTTTGGAACAGGTTGTCGCGAAGTGCGGCATCCTCGCCAGTCCCTGAGATAGTCAGCGAGTCGTTTAGGCGCAATGCGGACAATACGTACAGTCGCGTGTGCCCTTTGGCACCTTCAGGTTGAACGACTTGTTCTTGTCTTCTTTGCCCATGTCGTCGTCGAAGCCCAAAGGCGAAGTTTGCGTAGAGAAGCGGCGGCGGGGGGCAAGAATGTGGGTTCGGATAGTTGCTCGGCAGACTTTACGGTATGCGAAGGTATATGGGAGGGCGTCTTGGAAGAGCGCGGGGCAGACAAAGTGGGGTGAAATGCGCTGCATGGACCTAGAAAGTGACTCAATGGATCACCCAAGAGCAAGCGCGCATGTGCAAAGAATCGTTCTACTCCGCGACTTGGCCCGTGCATCTTCACACCGACGTCACACAGGTAGCCAAAATGTAGTCACAGAATTACACCGAATAAATTGATGCATGGGTTTCTAGTCATCTCGCTGCGTGCAACTACCATAGCAGTCGAAATCTCAGCAGATCTTTTTGTCCATAGCACTCGGCTACAACTGTCAGAATCATATCGATGGCTGCCTTGGTGTTCCAGTCACTCTCGGACAATGGGGTAATGGACTGCGGTTTGGCCTGTGTCGGCTTGGAAACTGGCGCCAATTTGGTGACACTCGCAGTTTGCTGCAGCTCTCCTCGGCGTATCTCTTGTCGCTGCCTCTCAGCCTCGACCCGTGAAAGGTGATGATGGACTTGCATTGGGGGCGCATTAGGTAGAGACAGTTGTGAATGTACCAACCGGTCTCCGAGTTGCGCAAGAAGACGCGCTCGAGCATCCTCGAGACCTCCATCTTCCGGAATGCTTTCAGAGTCAACTTCATCCTCAGACATGATCATCTCTGCGTCAGAATCATCCATCTCTTCAATGACTGTGTTTTGGCTGAGCACGACATCGTCATTTCTGAAGGGCGTCGAGCCTAACCCATTGTCTTTCTCATCCAAAACATCACACAGAGTTTGTGTGTCTCTTGGCGCGAGATGACTCGTGTCGTGAGCCCCATGTGTCTGTTCTCCAGGATCGGTCTTTGGGACCTTGGGACTAGTGCGCTCGCCTTCTTGTGCATCAGACGTCAATGTTGTGTTGTCTGCATGGAGTCGGCCCACTAGCCGGCCTGCGCTGAGTCCCAAGTCTCGGATCCTGCTCACACGCTCATGATCCAAAGTACCGAAATCTCCAACCAGGGCCAACAAGGTCCATATCCAACAGCTCTTCTCCCGGGATATCTTAGCTGATCGACCCAAGGCTAACGTACAGCCTTGCAGAGCCATATAGAGCGTCGACTCGTCCATGTGCACGATCTCTTGAAGAATCGGTAAGTCCTTCTCTATGGTTCCCGACCATTTCTGCTTTCCAAACTTCTCTGCTTTTGCGCGGCTCGCTGCTGCGTCTGGTAGTCGTCCATACCTCCGCATCTCGGCGAGTTTCTTGCGAAGGTTGCGAAAGCGCTGGAGGAGAGCATTGGTGCAAGCTTCCTGTGGATTAAGAGCAAACGAATCTGTTTCCCATTTGGTAGCGTTGTGCTCCCAATCCACGGCTATCCAGGTTCCTTCCCTGTATATGACGCGTTGAGTATCTATCGGGCTTTTGTATTTCGATTCGTCATAATCCGAGTCGAGTTTGCCAACGTTGACATTGTTTGGGGCTACGAGTAGAGTGGGAATTGCCGAGGCTTCAGACCTATGCCTTATGTATAAGCGATGCACTTGATAATGCTCTTATGTGAGAGGGTTCAAAACATGAAGTAAGCACTCACCGGACACCGTGAAGGTAGGCCAACGCTTCGCTTGTGGACTCGTCGGATGACTGCTCTTCACCGTCAAGCCCTGGTAGCACCGTCCGTGTTCCATACTCGTGGTACGAATCTACAGCACGCGGTCGTTTTTTTGGGTGCGCCGTGATGCGCGCGACCCTCGCGCGCTTGGTATCAGTGGCCTCTTCTTGCGCGCACTTTCTTTTGCTGCCGTGTGCAGTCGGGGACGCTATCGAGGGGGGTATGGAGGGCGGCTGCGTCGACATAAGGTAACCGTCGGGCCGCTGTAGTTTGTTGTAGGTCTCACCGTCTTGAGTAACAGCCAAATTTACCCCCACGGTTGACATGTTTGCGTTGAAGGGTTGCAGAGTCCTGGCTCTGATTGACGAGTGATTGCGGAGACGCGCTCGGAGGTGACCTACATCGGTCTAGCGTGGCTCACGTACCACACACGTATGTGGGCCGGCACAATCAATATCAGGAACCTTGGAATACGGAAGGTACATGGAAATATCTGAACTTGAGGTTGAAAATGTGTGGTGCATTTCCCTAGACTACAGTAACGTGCCGTCGTGCTCCTCGTAAAGCTATTCAGCCAACCGCTCTAATATCTAGATATGATAATGAATTCCTGCAAGCGTGCGCAAAGACCCCAAAACAAAGGAAGTTACAGTGGTATTGATCCCATCAGCCCTTTCCATCTCCCCTTGTGGTTGAGGCCCAGTAGCTTGGTCGTCATTGTCCCTTCCGTTCGATGTTTTCTTCTACCGGCTGATAGGGGTACTTGATCGTGAGACACCAGATGTCCAAATAGTCGCAGATCGTCCAAATAACATCCACGATGAAGCTTCCATGCACACCGACAGCAAGACCTAGACACATGAACACAAAGGCAACCTGATAAACATCGTTGCCCAAGGCACTTGGCCAGCCGACACCAATGTGCTCCTGTAGCCATGGCCCGAGCGAATCGATCACTCCGTAGATGAGAGGGTACATCAGTACGTTGCCTCGAGGAAATCGGGATTTCGTAAGGTGAGAGATGATCATGCGACCCACCGAGTACGCGTTGATGAGACCAGCGTAGAAGATGAACGGAACCAGATGGTGATGCAGGATCATAGGTTGCAGGTACAAGTACGCCGTGATGAGAACCCAAGCCGCCCCGAAGGTAAGAAGACCCAGGAGAGCGACTCGCGCCTTTTGACCACGGGCACGACGCGCTTTCATTACATTTTGCGCGCTGTGACATTGTCAGCCTCTCGGTTCGTGCAGTGGTAAGTGTCCATACCTCGAAACAGTGTTAAACACGAGCACAACTCCTCCATAGACCATATACCATTCGTTCCATGCCAGGTTGTACAGCACTTCTGGAATGAACCCTTGCTCTTTCACTCCGAGACTTTGGATCATGGAGCGTTGCCAGAAGCTGCCTCCACCAAGGTAAGCTGTTGAGGCGTACACTATGCACAAGGTTATGATACCCTCAACTGGCCCAGAGATAACACCAAGAGTCAGTGTATGGGTATGATACTCATCCCAAGTCTGCACGTAGAATGTCAGAGATGCTGCAGTAGTTAGCAAGATAGGATGCAAAACAAGTAATGTCAAGGTGCTGGCTTACATGCAAAGAGCGTGAGGACTGTCTTCCAGCCTTGGCCAAGATTCATTGTCGCAGAGAACAACAATACTTCCAGTGTCGTATTGATCGCATCGACTCCGTGATCGAACAGCTCGCCTAAAGGACCGCTCTGGCGAGTCCTGCGGGCCTGACTCCCATCCACAGCATCAAATGTTTGGTAGAGGAACAGTCCGATGGCCCAGCTGGCGTACACCCATGGCGGACAATCTTGATCAAGGGTCGGTGTATACCAAAGCAAGGTGAGGAAGTTGACTATGATGAAACCGAACCCAGAGAGTGTTATCTGCAGCATCATGTAAGTAAGGACGGAGCTCCAGCGGTGCGGTTCGACGTATAAAATCTTTTTTTAATGCCGAACTTACAAGGTTGGGTCTAAGACTTGTTAGTATTGCTTTGTATGGAATGTTGAAAATACTCACGCCATCCACATAGGAAAACATTTGATGACCACATGAGAGTAGAAAGGCTTCAGGACATATTGTGAAAGCAAGCTGTGATCCACGCCAGAGTACTTGTACTCCCTGAGCTTTGGTAGCTTATCCTGTCGTATGTACACCATGGTGTGTAATTCGCTTAGCACCAGCAACTGTTGGCGGGTTGTTGTGGGGTTCTGGCAGAGAAAGTGATTTGGGCGGCACTTGTTGTTGCTATGTGGGTGGTGTGCCAAGCGCAAAATCTTATGACGTAGCCTCCCGTCTGCCCGCCGGTTTTGGCAACCTCTTAGCGCGAAAACAGTATGTCAGGTACGATCGCCACCTCGCTGTGCACAACGGATGAGATAAATCATCATGTTCTACGAATGTGTATCGACATTGATGCAGCCCTTCGCAAATTCGCACCACTTAGATGCCGGAGGCTTAATGACTCCACTAGCGATACTAGTCTCATTCTGGAACATTGTGATCGATCTTGCTCATATACATGATTTGGCAGACATGACACCCTCTCACTGTAAGCAGCGTACAGTTCCATTTACTTGGTCGTACATCAGACAAGTGGCTTGATCGGTGCAATCGAAGCTCATGCAACAGTGCTCCAGGAGCAAGGAATCAAGATCCTGCTCCTCATGGTCTGGATGAGCGGCACGGTCTTGTGCACTGTCTCGCCCCAGCCTTCCACACTCCAGCTCTGTTCGCGACGGACCTTGCGTTCCTCCAGATTGGCGAATTGCCACAGATGGTGTACTGTGTTCAGATCACCGATCTGGACAAACCAAGCACCCACACCCTCCATGACTTCCCGTCTGGCCTTCAAGCCACGTCGCCAATGTGTCTCCCACTCGAGCAGATTGCCAGGATGTAGTGTGTACGAGCGCAATTCGAACAAGCCACCGAGCTGGCGTGGCGGTGTCGTAGGCCAGAAGGAGAACTCTTGCATGAGGGAGTTGTGCTTGGATTTGATCAAGGTCTTGAGTTTGGCATCGAACGCAGGGAACTCTGGATGGGATTGGATGTTGTGTAGCGATTCGTGGTAACCCTCGTAGCGTTGGTACTCCCAGATATGTACTTTGGCGCATAGTCAGCATTATTGAGAGGAAAGCGAGCGTTGGCGCGAGTTGCAGACTTACCAAAGGTGTTGCAGTCTCCCACTTCAGTCCTCCAGCTGCCTACAAGATGGACCTTGTTCTCGGGAATAGACGCCATCTTCGGGTACCAGCTTCCAACTAGCTCGGTGTACTCGTCGACCTTGTCTTGCAGTACCTCATGGAATACAATGGAGTGGACGTATTTGCCGCGAGCTAAGACCTGAGAAAAGCTGCGCTCAATGTCCTTGTCGAGTTCGCGGCCCTCGGGCGTGCCGTAGATGAGAGAGGATAGCGCACCGCCCTTCTTCTTGCCGTGTTCTTGCTCACGGGCGCGGGCATCTTCTGTAGTTTGTCACGTCAGCGCTCTTGGGCAATTCAGGTTGGGCGACGTGCAACGGACTCTCTTCCTGTTCTTTTCGCTTCTGAGCAGCTACCAGACCGTCGCGGAAGCTCTTCTGCTTTTCGTTGAAGCTGGCAGCACTATCGGGTGTGATGTCGGCGAGGGTAGGAGCTCTAGCCGGGCTCTGTGTTGGAGCGCCAGTACTGAAGGCCTGAGAGCGGACGGCGGTGGCACATGGCGGGGAGAGGATGCCGCGCACACTGGCACAAACACGGCGTGTGAGCATGATGGTATGGTCAGGATCGAAGCTGGAGGGTGAGGTCAAGTTGCACACCAATGCCGACAGCGTGTAGGAAGTGGAGTAGTGGTGTTGTTTGTGTCGGTTTGGGCGGGCTACAGCACAGCTTCCCCTCAATCAGCCTACTGCAGCTCTCCCTGTCAACCTCACTAGCGTCCCGCTGCCTAGGTATCCGCCTGGGGCACTGGGGTAAGCGCGCCCCACTGCAAACCTCCCCAATCTCCGTGACGCGTCCACGCCAACCTAGGAAAAAACTGAACAGCCTGGAGCCTACTTTGACGTTGGGTCACCTACTTTGCAAGGTTTTGGGTCAATGTAGTCTGTAGACCTGTTCGGGTTTTTCCTTGTATGAGGTGCGTCTACATTTCAATGTCGCGCAGAACACTTTGATCGCGTCTTCAGGCCAAATTCAAATTCATGGTCGTATTCTTTGCATCTAGTCTGTTGACATGGTCGTAGAAGCCCAAGATACCCCGAGACTAGCATGAGACCATTTGGATCAATTCACTTCCCAACCTCGACCTCGAACTTCGCTATCCCTGACTGCTCCCTTGGCGAGCAGCAAGTAGCGACAAGAACTTCTTATGATGTAGCTTGGCCCCTGCTTTCGTTGTACTCAACTATAATCATACACGAAGTGCTATTCACGGGTGCGATAGCCGTCCCGCGCAAGCGGACCCTACTCTGGATTAGATATCGAAAACCTAGAGGGTAACAGAAAAGTGATTTGAGATTGTAAAAACATAACAGAACTAAGTCCCTACCCAGGCAAGATAGGTGTTCAGTCCTCGTCGAATATCTGGAGCACGTTGTCAAGAATAGTAATGATTACGCGGGCTTGCAGACCGGCATCGGCCATGTTGTTGCCTTTATGGGGACCCATTATGGACGGCCTATACGAGATTAGTTGATGCATGGATTCGGTCGAGTGATGACTTACGCCCAACAGATACCCAGATTTGCGGTGCTCATGCGGTTAACCTCGGAAGATTGCTGCACACGATGCAGATGCAAGACAAGGGCACGGAGTGTCGCATAATTCGGATCGGGCAAAGCATTGATTAGCGCGTGCATGGAATCACGTCGCATGGTCTCGTCATCGATGCGTGCAGCATCGATATACTTGCCGTAGAATTCGCGGGTGAGCAGTGGATCCGGAAGTTCGCGGAAGAATTGTTTCAGCAAACCAGCCACGCTATTGACGTCGTGCTGAAACGACTCTGGGTTGCGGAAATCTACTTGAGAAGCGTCTGTATAGTGTTAGTCGAACGCATTAACGATTTCTCATATTCACCTACCACTGTCGAAGAGAGCTTTCATTTGCTGGATATGCGACGAGGTTCCAGGGATACGATAGATGCCCTCTACTTCCAGTCCGTATAGATCCACAGCCTGAATACACTGATAGACTACCATGGGTACGGGTGAGCCATCTCGGTGGAACAGGTCTTCCAGAGTGACGCCAAAGACGGGATTGACCGGGGGTTGGGCATTGTTGTATAGGATTCCGCTAGTCTGCTGTGCCGTAGCCTGACCGACAGGTCCACGAGGATAGTCTGACTGTGGGTAAGGTGTGGACCCCACGGGTGAGTAGGGCGAGTTATTGAAGTGTGGCGTTTGGGAAGGCTGTGGTTGCGATTGCAACGACGAAGGTGGTAGCTGTGCGGGGCCCCCAAACGAGGGCTCGAGACTGGAAGGGCCCTGAGGCGATAGAGGGTTGGCATCTGGCTGCGGCATGGAGAAAGAGGGCGGCGGCTGACTCTGCAGCTGCATGGAGGTACGTCGGTTGCTACTCGCAGCAGCAGGTGGTGTTGGATGTGACCGCGTCTGCGCCTGTGTCGGATGCTTCAGGTACTGTAACTCGGATTTGGCGATAGGTGCTTTGGAGGCATGGCTCAGAATGTATTCGTCAAAGTCGCGCTCATTGTTGATCTGGTAGATGAGCTGGTTGATGCTGGATGGGGCCTGAGTAGTCGCGTCCTTGGATGGCTGTGGACTGACGACCTGGCCATTGTTGACGACAAGTTTTTCGTTGAACGAGGCTACGGCAGCGTCAGTCGAAGTTGATGCAAGAAGCAGGTGGACTTACCGTATTTTTGCATTTCCATAGTCAGAGCAGCGTCAGTTTCCTTGATGAGATCCAGCAGCGCAGAGACGGCCTGGGGCCGTAGAGTCGCGACGAGCTCTTTGCGGGAGACCTGTGCCGTCTGGACTTTGCTGGCATAGTCCTGGTCTGCCGCCTGTGTCTTGCGCTGGAGGTCCTCCTCGTGCTGGGCGGCCGACTTGGGCCCTTTCAAGCCAAACTTCCTGCCCGCACCTGTGTCGCCTGTCTTGACGCGGTCGAGGTCTTCGGCGAGCTGGTCGTACTTGGCCTTGGCCTTCTCGGCCAGCCGTTCGGCGTCCTGAACTTTGTTCTCTGCCGAGAGCCCCTGCTGCTTCCAAGTTTTGCGGCTCGTGTCCATCTTGTTGGCCAGCTGTAGCAGGTTCTCGTGCATGGCGTGTAGGGCAAGGCCGAACTGGGTGCCATTGTCGGCGATGCGCTCGTTTGCGTGGAGGACCTGCTCGAACTGCGTCTGGTAGCTCTCGTGCCGCGTGTCAGGCTTCCGCACGCCGTCGAGCGTCAGGCGGCTTAGTTTCTTGAGGCTGCCGGCGTGTTCTTCCTCGAGAGCTCCCCGGCGTTTGAGAAAGCTGGCAAAGTCCTGCCCAGCGTGTTAGCCATCGGAATGCAGAAGAGCCGGGCTTGATGGCCACTGACTCTGGCGCTCGCAATGCTGGCCTTGAGCCGGTTCAGCAGAGTGGAGACGCCCACGTCTGAGTGCAAGATGTCTTGCACGCGCTGCTGCGTCTGCGCGTTGTGGGGTGCGCTCCCTTGTTCAGGCGATGTGGGAGTTGCTTCATCCATGGGCGAGCCGAGGGCACCATCGTGCGTCGGCGACGATACGCTGTTCGGGTCGGCATGGAGGCCTTCGGTGCCCTCCATAGGCGGCATTGCATTCTGGGCGGCCATCGCAGACGCGGCTGTTGTGGTAGGAGGTTATGGCTGCGTGTCGTCGGGTCGCCGTCGGAATGCGTAATGCCGCGCGCTTCGGCGGAGGCGGAGATGCTGCACGGACAAGCTCCACGCAACGTCATCCTTCCCCCCGTCAAGTTCTGCCAACCGTCCTCACGCGCCTGATCAAGCACGGCAGCACCATCTACCTTTGGCAGCCTGCCTCTCTTGACTCGTCTTCATCCACCTCCGGCCCCGTCTCGCCATGTCTAGCGGCTTACCAGATGAGGTGGTAACCTGCCTTCAGAATGCCCGCTTTGTGAGTCCCTCCCAAACACCTTTATCTTGTCTCATCTCAATCTTCCATCGGGATCACATTTAATAACACGTCGCATGCTCATATGACCCCCTCTCTCCTCGCTTGTTTGAGCACTTCATTTCCCCCAAACCCTTCCAACCAAGTGTCGTGATTTATACCCGCCTCACAAACACGTGCATTGCCAACACTCCCGATCCCTCATATGCTTATGCGCCGGGCTAATAAGTTGCAAACAGCTCCATCTTGCGACATGCTCGGAAAACATTCCCCATGTCTCGTTGATGAACTACACCTACTTACCTAATACTCCGTATTCTCCAACTCCCACTATCATCATGACAACACCTTCAACGTCCCGCAAGACACAAAACCTCGAGGCCAACACTCGAGTCTCTCTCCTGGTGCATGACTGGATATCTCACCGCCCTCCAACCTTGAGCCAGCCGGGTCGCTCGCCTTCGCCGTCAGGTCCAGCACCACGTTCGGGATCCTTGGCCGAACTTCTCCTTGGCATGAACACCGCGTCTCTGAGTCGCATCAGCGCCACCATCAATGGCGTTGCTGAACTCGTGCCTTCTGGCTCCGAAGAAGAGACATGGTACAAAGCCCAACACCTGGCTAACAACACCTTCAGTCCTGCTGGCGAGGACACACACTCGGCTCCTCCTGCTGGCGAAGGACTGTGGGGCGGTGGTGGTATAGGATCACGAGAAAACGCTGATGAGTCACTAAGAGAAGGTGACGGGGGCACCAAATGTTACGTCGAGGGAGCGGAGGTCAGAGTTGTCGTAGTCAGGGTTCGTGACGGACGCATCGCAGACTGGAAAGGCCAAGTCAGAGATTGGAGCCTTTCAAAAAACACACAGGAAATCAAGCCGAACGGAATGTCGTCATGAGAATTACCAGGAGTCTTTTTTTTTGGAAAACGACCGACATGTTTGGAATTCCATGGCTTGTGTCGTGTATGCAAGGGGTTGCCGTATTTGCGCAGCATCTGGTTAGTGACATACCTCCCGTCAAATCAGGTACACGTATCTTAGCGCTGCCTCGTGCGTGGCTTGATGCTATCTCCTTTGTCTCAAAATACCACTTAGCAGACAAAAGCTGGGAGCTTCCCTAGCTTCATCTCATTTTTATCCCTAAGTTTCATCACAGTGTATGTCACAACCGATAGCATTTGTGAGAAGGCTCAGTATGCAAAAACACCCCTCTTAACAGCGCTTTAGAAGAGACCATCAGGGATTGTTCACGAAGTGAAGGAGACTGAGACTGTCTCATCAGGTGAGCGAGGAAATACTGCTGTTGACGGATGCACTGACCATTGCAAACGCGCAGACTCGTTGCCTGGCCTGCTCAGCCTTGGCGCGGCCACAAACAAAGTCTGCTCTCACCATCTCGTCGAAATACCACCAACTCCCACTACTCAAACCCTTCCTCATTTCGCAATTGCTCTAATTTCTCCGCAACAACAACTTTCTCCAGCCCATACATCCACTCCTCACCATAATGGACGCTGAGATCCACCGCACTCTCGCTGGCACTGGCGAAATGCCTCAGCTCGCCATGGACGCACTGGGCCGTTTAGAAAATGCTCTTCGCGTTTGCGCTGAAGGTTTCGAACGCGGCGATACCATGGTAATCATCCCGGACAACCTCCCCGTTCTGCTCGGAAACGGCGTAGCAGAGCTCTTCAAGAAGGCCTTGGCCGAAAAGACAGGATTGCCGATCAAGCTTATTGATCTCATTCCCATGGAGACCACCAAAACCTCACACACTATCGTCAAGATGCCAAAGAACAACGCAGCTTCACCTCAGGTCCAACCCAACTATCAGTTGGTAAAGACTCAAAGCGATTCTGCTATCGGCTTGGACGCCATTTCTGTCAATATCATCAAGAAGGCTCCCCGACCAATGAATTGTTGGATCATCTTCCGAGACGCGATGGCTAAGGATCTGAAAATCGAGTTCCCGCAGCTCACTGTTCAAGAGTTATGTAAGTGTACACAGTACTCCCCACCTCTAACATAACATGCTTACAATGTCATAGCTTCATTCTGCTCCGACATGTGGAAGGAACTTGGACCAACTGGCAAGGCGCCCTGGCAGGCTGCCGCACAGTCGGCCAAGGAAGAGCACTTGCGCCAGCATCCGGACTATAAGTACAGTCCTAGGAAGCCAGGCGAGAAGAAGAAGCGCCAGTCACGCAAGGCTAAGCGCGCATCGGCGGTCTCGACTGTTCCTGAGGTTGTCAACTCCCAAGTCGACCCCAACATTGCGACATCATCGCCTAGCTCGACCTATGAGAATGCGCTTCCTGTCAACGACATCACTCCTGATATTGGCAATCCTTTCGTCAACGACTTCGCTCCGTTCTTTGATGTGGCCGACATGCTCGATATGTTTCCTCAAGATTCAGTGTCTGCCAACATCACCTACGACTCAGAGTCTTTCCGTCATGCTCGCCTTGACAACGAGTTCGGCTTCAACTTCAACATGGACGCAAACTTTGCGCTAGCTGATAACGACCTCTTTGCCTTTCGCGATGGCGCAGACGATGATGCCATTCTGCCCGCCCTGGTCCATGACACCTACTAGGAATGCCTCAAGCATCCAAGCCTCGTCTGGAAAGTACATATACCAGAGGTCTGCATGTCACTGAATAACGATTCGCGCTTCTTGTAAGACCGGCGACTTCCCCACACCGTCACCCGTTTTCTGTCGATCTGCTCCGCATACCATTTGCGTTCCTTTGGCAGTACAACCGGCTTGTCTCTACGTCTCGATTGGGCACTCCCCTTGCTTTAGCAACACCCCTTGCTCTTAGCGCACCCAAAAGTCTTTCGCTTGTCACCAGCTTGCCACCTTCTCATGAAGCGCCCAGTCAAGCACACCTTCCACTCGTTTCCCGGATTACGATTACGATTACGATTAGATTACCATTACATTACCATTACGATCACAACCCACGATACCTCAGGCAATGTGCATACAGGATACGCGATCCCACAAAAGAGGCTTTTGAGTCTTGATGATGAGAACATGGTTGAAGCGTGTGTTTTTTCCCTCGATCACGACGATATATGGTTCGTGGTCACTACTTCAGATACCCCGTCCAAACCCTAGTGTCTTATACGGCGTAGCATACACATCATCGATCGTGCACGTATGCGCAGCACCAGATGAACAGAACGACTCAAATAATAGATAGTTAAAAGATACCAAAAATGCACACAAAAAAACAAACTCGCCTCTTTCCCTGGCGTGATCTGGAAACAATATTCAGTGATCTGCTTACTGACCTGCTTTAACGACGTGACCTGAAGCTGACATGTGAGGAGATGTATGCATCATGTGATTGTAATGTTGGTGGCTGCATGAAAGGGTGTGACGGGCTTGCATGATGGTGGCGTTACAGTACTGACACTGAGGTCGTTCTACAGTATCTCTTAGTGAAGCTGACAGACTTTTCAGACTACTTATGAATCATGTACTGAGATTTCCGCCACTGCGGTTTTGGAGGGGTGGTGGTGTGTTGGTGTCGAAATGGCCGAAACTGACTCGCCACTCGTCCGAGTGCGCCTATGTGCTGGAGGACTCTGATGAGTCTCGGCATACGCGGAGGCGATTCATAGGGTATTCATCAATATCTGGGGTCTCTATAAAGTGGATGGGACGTATAGGTATGACATTATCGTTCGGTGTCGAGTTGGATGTTGAAATCGATGGCTGACTGGCAGGAGTATCGCCAACACAAATTCATGTCTAGCCCGAGAAGCAATTTGTGAAAGACTCTTAAGTATACAAAGATAAGTTAACAGAAGTTTCTATAGCCTTGTACACAGTAGTCAAACTGTCACGTTAACAGATCGCTTGTTATAATTTAATAGAAATAGTAGCATGTATTTATAATGCATTTCTATGTTAAACCTAATAAGTATAGAGTGAAATATATTCATAAACTCATACACGTTTTTGATAGCTTTGGATGTGACCAACGTACCAGTGGTGACGTCTAGGCCCTGGCTGCGAGGAGTCAAGTCTGGGGTAAAGGGATATGACTGGAAAGCTCATAGACGTTCCAGCCTCTGCAAAGCGCTTATGAAATCGCCTTTTACTGTTTCCAATGTCTCTAACACTTATCGGTAGTACTTTAGTACGGCTATGTGGAGGTATATACCTGTCTGCGAGGCAGGCCCACGGGCCGACAAAAAGCAAGATGGGGACATTGAGCCTGATGACATATAATACCTACCTCGTTTGCACTAGCTTCACAAAGGCTTGGGTGGAAATTCATAGAATGTTGAAACAATCTGGATTCGAGAACATGCACGTCTCAATCAACCGTGGTGGCCACTCCTAATAGATATCGACTTGTGAAAGATCAAGACAGAAGCCGTGAATGAACACGCCATTGTCGATCAGTCGTATTCGTGACAATACTGGCATCGTGTCTTCCATCTCTTCGGATGCAGGTTATCAATCATCTTTAGTGCATCGAGCGTGCTTGGATAACGAGGATCTTAGTAGAGCGATGTGTCAACAATTGCCAGTATTCTTATGCCCACCCGGAACTATCCGACACCAGATGTGGACGCTACCATCGCATTACCTTCATACTCGAGACTCCAGCCTGTGAACATGAAGATGGCGAGCTGATCTAAAGCTGAGTATCTATAGCTGATTATGGCTTTTTTGACACCGTTGAACATGACATATTGGTACGGCCTGACATGGACTGCCCTGTAAATTTCAACCTCCTTCTACCTGCCTCGACGCGATCATTAATCTCATCGCCGAGGCTGATAGGTGACACTGTATCTATGCAGACACTTTCGACCTTGCCTGCTATTCCCGCGGCGAGCTTCAGTCTCCACAACTACCCTGAGGATAATAGCATCGCCATCGTAAGCAGAACCCATGCGAGCCGCAGGCCAGCGTATACATAGCCTAGCAGAACCATCTATCAGTATCCATGTATTATGTCCCTTCTCTTAACTACCCTTCCAATCACTACACCAGATGAACGTCCCACACCGCCACTGCGTACCCACTTCCTTCTGCCCCGTCGGTCCAATCGGTCTAGGGCACATCCAAAACTGTCTTCCGCAGTTCATGCCGGGTTTCTTGGTCGTGAATGAGATGCAAGGCTCGCCGTGTTCGCACCGCGGTACTGTTTTTTTGGAGAAGAGCTTTGTCCAGCCTTCTTTTGACGCTTCCTGGGAGGCACGCGGATCGGAGTCGAAAGATTCAGAGTTTATGGGCGACCGCGGAGGAGGCATGTCTTTGGTGAAGTGGCTGGGAGCATCGTTGTTCGTAGACGGCGAGGCGGGCGGTGCTGCATCTTTGAGGGGCTCTGCATCAGCAGGTTTGGTTCGGCTTTGGAAGAAGCCTTTGAGCGACTGCTGCCCCTTGGAGGCTTTGGATGTAGTTGTGGTATTGGATTTGCCCCGCTTGACTGGCTTGTTTGGCGATGCTGATGCCGAAGCGCGTCGCTTCTCGACCGATTTGAGCGGGCTCTGGCTTGATGCAGGGTGACTATCAACTGCTGAAGGCATGTCCGCCATGGAAGCCGCGATCGCCAGCTTAAGGTCCCTGTCGGAGTCGTCCAGGCTCGTACTGGGAGTAGACATGACATCTACCCTTGTCGGAATTTCTTCGTCGAAAATCTGTGGCGTAAGCGCTGGTGCAGACTTCGGTAGGGCAGGCTTCTTGGTGAACATGTCTCGGATACTCCTCCTCTTCGTGAATTCGGCTAGGAGCTTTCCGCTGAGTGCTGGGACATCTTTGACTATGTCGTACTCTCGCTTTCGCACGCCGTCTTTGAACATGCCCGCTGGATTCATCAAGTCCAACACATGCATCTGTTCTTCAGCACCGTACTCTTCGGTCGTTGATA